ATTTGCCAGGAATATAAAATGCTTTGTCATAAGAACTGCCGATGAATGAACATCTCCAATTAGGTAACGAGGGTGGGGGATGGGCAGGAGCGTCCATTTAGAGGGCCTTTGGACCTCTAATGGTCACAAGTGATAAGAGGCCCTGCTTTTAAAAGGATATTTCTTAACGGTTGCTAGAGAAGGCAAACAGGACGTCAGCTGGGCGAAGACCGGGCAGCGCTGCTGGAGGTTGGCAGCTGTTTTAGACAGATCTGTGCGCTCAGTGGACTAACGTATGGGTTTTCCTTTAAAAAAAAACCACACACAAAAGCACCATATTTGTTTATTTATTCATTTATTCACTTATCCATTCATCCATTCATTTATTCATTCATTTATCCATCCATCCATCCATTCATTCATACTGCCCCTCTGGCCAAAGGCCACTCTGGGCAGTTAGCAGCATGAAGAAGAAGAAGAAAAAACAATCATCATAACACAACACCATAGCACTAAAAAAAACACCACACACACACATTCGAAATAAAGAGAAAACAATTACATGTTAAGATACCTAAAGACATTTCATTGGGCTTTTTTCTGCTAAAAAGGGGGATTTGCTTTCATCTGCTTCCCCACTGTCTGATTTAATTTAGTTATTTCAAATATTTGTTCCTCGATTGGACTCTCGTGCAGGCGAAAATCGAACTGGTGCAGCTTTCAAACTTCTCCCTCTAAGGGGGCAGGGGAGACTTTACCAGGTGAATATCTGTCTGTCCCAGGCTGCTAGCAGATGCCAGGGCCTGGAAGCCCCCAGTTGGTTTGGCAAAGGAGAGAATTTCCAGTTGTACAAATTCTGCCCTGTTTCACCTGCTTTAAATAAATACATTTTCAAGTAAATTTAGGGGGCCAGGAAGGAAATTCATTTTCTCATCTCCTTTTGAGCTTTGTTCCCTCCTCTTCCAACTGCAGTTGCTTGTTGACTTGCAGAAGTGTCACATTAAAACACAAACACACACACACACACAGAGAGAGAGAGAGAGAGAGAGAAGGAAATCAGTCAAGGGAGACAGAGAGAGATAGTATCATTTCCCCCTCCCTCCTATATGACCGCAAAACTCACTCAGGGAGCAGAAACTCACCAGTACTGCTCGGAAAACGGTTGGCCACTGAAAAATATATATATATATATTCAGAGAGCGAAGGGGGAAATCCACCCGCCAGAGAGGAAACATCTTTCAGCCGCCCGCAAAAACAGCCTTTTTGGGGGCTTTTGTTCCCACTTGTAGGCGAAGTAAACAAGAGAAGTTGCCTCCACGGGGCATTTGAGGTCAGGCCTACATGCTTCCCACAGGCTGCGCTGGGTGACAGCCTCCAGTGTGCACCCCCTGGGGACGTCTGTTTAAGGATTTTTTAAAGGTTGCTAGTCCTCAAGGCTGAATACCCACAAGTGACACAGAGGCCACAGCCATGCAGAGCAAGGTGGCGCCTGAGACCTTCGGCTCACACGTTTTCTTGGCTGCGGCGAAGAAAACAGGTGCGTAGACTCGGCAATCTCCAGAGCTGGCAAATGTGTCCCTCCAAATTGTGGAGGGACTACAACTCCCATCATCCCTCAGCACTGGCTAGGTAGGCTGACTAGAGCTGCTGGAGACTGTAGTCCAAAACCATCCAGAGAGGGACTCCCAAGATAAACTTCTGGTTTCAAAGTTCCTGCTGTGGGAATATCAAGTGTGTGACCCAAGAGGTTGTATGAGCCCAAATCCCATTTGCCACTTGCTGGCTAGGGCTGATGGGACTTGTAGTCCTCAGGCTTCTGGAGGGCCACATATTCCACACCTGGACCTCTTAGCCTTTCACTAGCACATCACTCAAGCCCCTTTCTGCAATTCTGCAACAATAAGAAAATTATAAAATAATAATTAAAACATACACATATTTAGGGAAAGCAGTTGATTAAATTCCTTGTGTTTTCTTTTTTTATGAGTGCTTACAACAGAAAACAAATACTGAGCCACAGATGCTATGTTTGTTTGACTTATACTTGCTTTAAGAAACATTAAACAGAATAATTATACAAAAAACGACATTAAATATCCCAATCCATGTCAATGGCCTTCCGGGACGTTTCCTCGTAATGGAGCAGAAGAAGATGGCTATGAGGAGGTGACATTCAAGTAAATATGGTAGTCTGTTTGTGAGCAAATTGGTGCAGGGTCACCCTGCAAGTAAATTCACTTTCACTGTGTTGGTTAGAGAAATATCTTTTATAAAAAGACAAAAATAGAGGAAGGGATGTCTCTACCTTTCATTCCAATGCCTTCTTTCATTTTGTTAAAAACCATACCTTGAAAACCATTTGCCCAAACACCCCCACATTTGGCATAGAGCAAAAGCAGATTGTCCACTACATCTGTGCCAGGTTTCATGCTGATCTGAGGTCCAGTTTCAAAGTTACGGTATTCTTATTTTTTTGTTTGTGATGCCCATTTTTTTAGTTGCCTTGTGGAATGCTCGTTTGCTCTCTCACACAATATCGGTTGCTGCATTTTCCGGCGGCACTCCTAGCCACTGGGAATTTGAATTGGTTGAAGGGTGCCACCTGATGGCGATAAGTGGCAAAAACCTAAAAATATATATTGAATAGTACTTGTGTACAGTATTAAGTTGTGTCAGAAGAATGGGAATGGATTGATGAGCATAAAAGCTTTATTCGCCTTAATGATCAGATGCCACAGGGTGGATATTTTACAGGGCAACAGAAAACTAAGGACCAGAGGGCCAATCTTTAAGCAGACCAACTAATTCCTACATGATTACAATTCCCATAATCCCCTTTCATTCTTGATGATGGGATCTGTATTCCAGGAACTTTTGGAGAAACACTGGTTAGTGGCGCAGACCAAATGGCAGCTTCTAGACCACAACACGGAAGTAGATCTGCTCAGCCTGAACCTACCTATCAGGAGTGTCATGACTTGTGAGTCTAAAGTGGAATACTGTGTATGACACTCTGAGCTTGCTGGAGGACAAGTGGGGTATAAATGCTATGAATAAGTAAATAAATTAATAAATTTCAAGGTTACTGATTTTATAGATAATGGACAATTAACAAATAAAAATAAATAAATAATATCATTATGAAAGCAAGCAAAATGCAATGGAGGGTATTTAATTGAAAAGGTACCATATACTATAAAACAAGTTTATTTTCCAAATATAAACAAATATAAAGTACCAATTTCAGTGTATCCAACAAGTAAAACTGTGAAACATATTGAAAAATGCCCTCAACAGCATAATAGAACAAATACTCCATTCTTTCTAGGGAAATTATATCTGATTTGTCTTAGATTACAAGGACAATGGTTGTATTCAAAATATACTTTTAAACGTTAAGAACTGGAATAAAAATAACCTCTTTTCAACCTTATTTTTAACTGCAAATTATCTCTCCACAGTTAACTGATACAGAACATGAGTCTGGTAGAAACACTATACAAAAAGAAAATAAAAAGGAGTTCTCACACTATAAGTGACATTTAAAACAATATTCCTCCAATATATAAAAAAATAAATAAAAGCAAACATCACCGTTTTGGCACCTTATATGTCCAGCTTTCCTTTCAAATGCAACCATTTAATGTTAAATCATGTCATTTGCTAAAAAAAAATTTACAAGTCTGACAAAGTCACTCCTTCTACAACTTTCAAAACTAACAGCAAAAATTTAACAGCTGCCCTCATTTTCTGTTTTTTTTTTTACATGAATGTCCAAGATGCATGTATTTTTCAACTTGAGTGGCTGCCAGCTTACCAAAAAATAAAGGGTTCCACACCCTACTCCTGTGCCTTGAACAGTACGAGCTGCAGAAATTAGTCAGGCTGAGTTTTCATGGCATGAAGGGAAACATTTTTTCTTAACGGCAGAAGCACAGGAGTCAATATCAGAAGTTGGCAACTTTGGTTTCAAAAGAGTCCACCCCACATTCTTTGGGAACCTCAGACTCAGCCAGATATGAAAAATATCTTTGTCTCTTCAAAATGTCAAGGAAACAGATAATTGAAATATAATGGGGCAAAAGTACAAGGTAGCCAAATCTTTCATTAAGAATTAAGACTTGAGTGGGATTTTAAGCATCGTGTGAGATGGCGGAAGTAAAGTACATTTAGGACCACCTCCTTTTTCTTTGTCTACTTGTTTTGCTCCCCAACTGAAGAGCCTATAGTTCAACAGGTGCAGTGCTTCTCTCTACCTGTTGGCTGGTTGACTGTTTTTACCAGAAACGACAGTTGTAATGGTATATGTTCATTTCTTTTGTTTCAGAAGGGACTGCCAACTTCTCAACCAGACCCTGCTGCTGTGTTATCAACAGGATGAGATGGCCAAATTCCTGCTGAGCAGGCGAGCATTAAGAGAGAGTAACAAGTTTGGCTGAAAAGTAGCTTAAACCTTCATATAATGCTTCAGTAACCCCTTTCTCTTTCTCGCCAAAACCCTGGCAAAAATTGATTTTGCGGTGTGGGCACGCCTGGTAAAAATAAAGAAAACTCTGCACTTTCTCTATAGATAGACCTGACAAAAATTAAGAGCTCAGGAATTTGCTTCTCCTGGATTACAGTTCCCAGAATCCCCCTGACAGCATGGGAGTTGTAGTCCACAAGTAGCCCCTTCTCAAACGTTTAACAAAAAAATCCACATAGGAGTTGCCAAAGGTCAAAAACAGCTCAGCCAGCCAGCAAGAAGAGGTTCACCCCACCCCAATTTTCCATTAATTAAATTATTGGGGGGGGGGCTGTGGGACTTGAGCAAATCGCCAATTTCCTTCTGCAGAGCTATTATCTTGATCCTCTGTCCTTTCCCCCAGGTATATAGCTCGAAGGCCTATACAGTACATGTTTATTAGAAAGAAAGGAGCCATGAACCAACCCCACTTGCTCCCTAACCCACAGGGATCAACCACGTTGTGATTAAAAAGGCAGAGGAACAGGACCAAACTAAACAAGTTGGCAACTCTGATCTAAGCATGGGGCGGGGGAGAGAAAGAGTGGATCCGGGAATCCAGCGGCTCGGGGCTTTCGGAGCGGGGAAAAAAAAGGTGCTCGGGACGGTTCAAAAGCCCCGCGGGTTCCAGCAAGGCAGGAGCGCCACGTCCGGCGTGGCCGGGAAAGGGGGTCCGGGCCGCCCGCCGAGGGGGCTGAAGGGCGGGGGAAGAGCCCCC